TATTTATTTATTTATCTTAGACTCTCCGAAGTCTAAGACTTATATGGAAGACTGTTACAACTCGAAGCACGCGAATCGGAAAACTGGGCCCACAATCCCAAGTGCCATTAATAATCCAAAGTTGCCCTCCTTTCCTTCCACCTGCAATCACCAGCAGATCCAGGACAATTTTCGTATATCTAAACCCGCGGTGTATCGATTTCGATGAGGCAACACATCTACGCCAACCCCGAAATAGAAAAGTGAATTTGGGCTGGCTGTTGGACAACAGCCAACAAGCACCATCAACGCCAAAATCGTGAAGCAGACATGAAACAGATAATGCCACAGGATCGCATGATTGGGGCCGGACCCAATAAATGCGGTGCTACTTTTTGACCTTTCTACCAGCAGCGGCTAGGAAGTGGCGTATCTTTGCTCCGTTTTCCGGGAATGGAAATGGGATCGATCGCCGAGTAAAATCTGACGACGAAGTTTGTTTTCTTCCCTGGCTTATACTATTTTGTTCGTGACTGACTTGGCTGGCTTGGTGAGTTCGCTGGACTCAGAGCAGGTTTGGTAACTATATGGTTATGCACGGAATAAATATGGTTGATGATATGGTCGAGGCGCTTAGAGGTGTGGTCGTTTTCAACGGAGCATCCAATTTGCTCTGAAATCTCTTGATAACTTGAATGATATTGCTCAGCAATGTTGTCCGTAAAAGAGGGGCCCGCCGCCTCCAATCGACATTTTTACTGCTGAGAGGCGTGGGCGAACAATAGGGCTACACCAAGATGCTCCAGGCTAGCTAATCCCCGATCGATCGACAGCAGCCAGTAAGTTGTTGTCCACACGCCAAACCCGCCAATTATTAGTTGAATCAGCGATGAGCTTCATCTGATACCTGCCCTGTTGCAGACTCTGCACACGCATGTTTTGCATCTGCAATTATTCCTGTGGCGGTGCCATCCGCCAGGACCTCGGGAAGCTCACAATACCTCCTCCCTTTCTCTCGGCCCCCTCCTAGCTACTCTCTTTATTGTCACTCCTCCATTTCGTGTTCTCCTAAGTCCTGCTG